GGGATGGAGCGGGCCCTGGGCTTGGCGCTTCCAGGAGGAACACGCACAGGAACGTGCCGGTATGCCCTGAAGCTGCTCAGGAGGGAGCAGAGGAGGAGCCAGCACAGGGGGGCTGCGTGCGGAGGAGGAGCGGCATCACAGCCCGTCAGAGCAGCCGCCCCCGGTAAAAGCCACCCCAGGACAGCAGACAAGGGCCTGTGGCAAGAGCTGAGGGGACTGGGCGGGACATCACCCATCAGCTCTCTGAACAAAACCTTTCTGTCCCGAGCCCAACAGACAAGCGAGGGAAAAGCTGCCACCCCGCAGGGCAGCGTCCCGGCAGCATCATCCCACTGACCAAGAAGTAGTCACGAAAGAACTCGGGCAGCTCCATGCTGATGATGTCTTCGTCCAAGGGGAGCAGGTAGAAGGACCATTCATCGCAGGTGACATCTGAGTTGGGGACAGGGAAAGGTGACACTTACCCAGCCCTCAGCAGAAACAGCCCCAAGAATCACAACAGCCCCGCAAACAGGGGTGTGGGGGGCAGAGAGATAGGGCCTTTCCACAGGGATTCGTGGCAGGACTCTCTCTCCTCCCAGAAGACAGAGGAGAGGCGCCTGGAGGCAGTCCTGCAGCCAGGCTCGAGGGAACCTGCGGTTCCTGCCCACACTCTTGTCCCTGCCAGCACAGGGATCCAGCACTGGGATTCAACTGGGAATCTGCGGCGTCAGAGCTACCGCGAGCCAACCCTCGGGAAGGGGAAGGGGCAGGCACCACAGCTCCACTCACCACCAAAGACTCCCTCTTCCTCCAGCACCATCTCGCAAGCGTAAAACTGGAAGAGAAGGAGAGACCCTCAGGGTCCAGCCAGGCTCCGAGTGTGCAGAAAAGTTTTCTGGCGATGGAGGGGACCAGCTCATTCCCAGGCATTGCAACATTTGGTTTTAATTAAACATTTCTGGGTTAGAAACGAAGAACTTTTGGTGTCCATAGAAGGGGTGGAGGGCACGAAGGCCAAGCAGACACAGAGCGATGGGGTAACTGGCAGCAGAGCATGGTCAGACTGACCTTTTGGGGGCTGAAGATAATCTTGTACTTCCTGCTCCTCCCCGACATCTTGTCGGCATTGACAATATCTGTGGACAAAAAAACGCACGGACTCTGCAAAGACTGCCCACCCCCCTGAACTGGCACAACTCCTTTTATCTGATGAGGTCCACGGTCGCACACACCTCACAGGACCCGAAATACCTCAGGCAGAGAGAACTCCGGGCACAGGGCCCATCTGCCAAGGCTGCAGACTCGCCGAAAGCCTTTCTCAAGCCCACTCGTCACCAGTAGCCCACAGCACCGACC